TTTGCAGTTTGAAGATTTAACCAAGCTTGGATCTTTGCTTCTTCTCTCTGGTATCTGAGAAAAACAGCCTAAACCCTCAAAATTTTTACATGATTAAAATGTACCCTTTAAGAATTTACCATACCTCAGGCAACACTTAGTCTTCTCCTCATCAACCCAAGTAGAAAGTCTTGAATCTGAAACACTTGTTCTGCGCCCACTTCCTGTTTCAAAATGTCTGAGACTCTTTGATATTTCTTCTTCTTCCTCTTCCCTTGAGCTCCAATTTGATGTGATAGAATCATACTGAGTGCCAACTTGTAGCTTGGCTAAATGGCATTCTTGAAAATGAGCAATGTCAATGGTGCTGTTGGGGCTAGTTGGGTGAGTTAATGCCAATGGACCAGATCTATTTGCCGGCGTGTTATGACGTGCAGGCGATGAACTCTTGAAAGGGGTGTGGCATCTTGAAGTGGTGGAGCTGCCAAGAGGTGTCATCTCTGTTCCAATATCTCTGTGTTGTACCTCAGTGCCTGCATCTTTCATGGCTCCCCGGGCTGAGTTTCGGAAAAGAAACCCTTCTTTTGATGGCTCTGAGTATTGATAATCGGGTAAAACTGGTTCTACTTCGTCTGTGAACTTATCTACAGCCATTAACAAAGTTAAATAACTAGCTTGAAAGACTAATTTTCAATATGAGTTGAATCTTCTTGAAAGGAAAAGCAGAGTTCTTGAGCATATATAGTAGTGAATAATAACATCTGGGTATAGAAAAGTTCAATGTTTTATTAGGGTTTCAAAAGGCAGGAAGAAAGAGGAAAGAGAAAAAGTTTGAGTAGAAGAAAGAAAAGCCAGTGAATAATAACATCTGGGTAGCGAAGTTCAATGCTTTATTAGGGTTTCAAAAGGCAGGAAGAGAAAAGAAAGAGACAAACTTGAGGAGAAGAGAGAAAAGTCAAAAGGGGTGAGATAATTATAGTTCAAATAAAGATTTTACCTTTTAAAAGTACATCACTTGAGGCTGAGACCCCATTAAAAGTGCTTGCAGGATTGTGATGGCGGTGGTCCAAAGTTACAGATCCTCGGAAAGTTGAGACAATCTTGGAGACTTTTTCCTCCGTCACCCGTGATTTCTCTGCCACCACCACCTCCATTCTATGCTTAAAGCTATCATATTGTTTGTATGATTGAGGCGGTGGTTTGATGGAATGAGCAGGAGAATCATGACAAGAATTGCTTATTACCCATTTCTCTGCATCATCCCACTTTGAAGGGAAACTTTTTCTGGATAAATTCCCTGCATTAAAACTGAAAACTGGTCTACCAGGTGTAGATGGAGCCTCCATTCTCCTCTGCGTAACTGAGTTTCCATCTCTCCTCCTCTGAGCAGGAACCGCATTTGAAACCGCCGGCATAGGCAGTGACTTCACAAACTCAGAAGTCTCTTTAAGATTCAGCTTGCAAAGCGGGTCAGGGAAGTTTTCTGCAGCAAATGGGTTTCCTTCACTTCTCCCATAGAAGCTCGGACTACCCTGCAACAAGAATGGCGGTGCTTGTATATCCTTAACAACAAAAATGAACCAGAACCCAATTGGGGAAAACTGCGAGCAGAAAAGAATCAAACTAAAAGTTCTTATCTTTACTAAAAGTTATTATCTTTACTTACCCCATTAGATGAAAACAGAGAAGGAGACTGAAAGTAGTTGGGACTTGTAAGATCCATAGCTTACGCCCGCATCATTTTGATCGAAAACAGTGATATTGTCATGAGAGATTGCAGTAGAACAGTATAGCTAGACAAGGCAATGCAGTGAAGAGCGAGCTTTAAACTCCCTAATTCTAAAATAGAACAACAATAACGACTGATATTATGTTGTAGCTCTTGCCTTGTTTGAGAAAATGGGGAAGAAGAAGACGAAACAGTACTTGGGGGAAAAGAGGTGGAGAGTTATTGGAAGAGGGAATGGAACAGAGAGATTATACTATAGTCTAATGGGTCCTCCGCCTAAGAATAGAGATATAATGTAAGTGGTTAGTTTTTGAAAAATCTTTCCTGTTTCATTTTTTCTGAACCCTTTTTGGGAAGCTTTTTAGTCTTCTAGTTTTAAAATTTGCCTATTGTAAATAATGAATATCAAGGGTGTTTTTCATAAGTTGCCAATGTTAAAGCTGTGTCCTGTGTTTGTCTTCATGCTCATAGGGCATAGTCATCTCATTTTTTGTGGGTATATTGATTAGATGACACACAATATAATCTTTTATAAAAAAATATTTTAAGTAATTTTAAATAAAATACATAAAATGCGC